ATGGGCTTTCAGCAGGGCTCAGCGGAGCCGATGCATATGCGTTCGGCTCGGCCATGATCGGCAGCTGTACGGGCTGTATAGAACCGAAGGTGTCCTGGGGCCGAAGCTAGCCGAAGGATCAGCCGAAGCTACGGCCAGGTCCTTCGGCAGCTTCGTGAATAGACCCCATAGTGATGGCCACACAGACAGGTAAGTCTATGTATGTGTAGCAGACATCTATACAGGTCAACTGTTGTCTACCCCAATGACTACAGACAGGTTCTGCAGCTCCTCACAAGAAATGCAGAACTGTCCAATGCTTTGCATATAGTCAGCATTTAGTACATACACCGGGATGATAACAACTACTTGACATTGAAAGCAGTATTTCAGTAAGAGCTCACAACTTTCAAATATGTATCGTGATTATTATTAAAAATAGAACCTCTCTATAAAACTTTCTACCTATTAGACACATATGGACCTGCAGCAGAAAGCTCTATACTTAATTGTATTTTTTCTTACCCTGACATACCTGATGATCGGAATGTCCAGAACTCTTCATCATCGAAATGTGTATCACCAGAAGTGTGATGATCACCCGGAAAAAAAGCATGAGCCACTGTGCCACCTGGTCCATCAAATGGGTAGCCATCATTGTGATCTGCCCTGGAGAAGTCAATTTGAATATCTGCATTGTTCCCAGCCACTTCATGGAAGTTCAAAGGGGTGATGTCACTCCAAACCTTCAGAGCATAGTACATAAGAGCCCTCACGGTATCATGACCCAGTGATGACGCTTTAGGGAATGTTCTAACCCTATGGAATGATACAAGTAGAATGTTACATTCACTTCAATAGCTACCTTTTAAATGTACAATCATATAACTAATTCAGATGCACATTCCACAGTCTGGGATCCCAAAATATATGCAGAAATTATCACATTTACTATACATTGTACTGAGAGAACAGGACAATTCCAAAACTATTTTGAATCCCAGAGCAACAGCACACAAACACTACAGTTAGAGCTTCAACTTTAAAAAGTAAGACCATCAGTGAGGAAGATTATTTAATATTGTGGAAGTCGGACTCTCAAAGTGAATATTTTTCAATAGGTGTGCTCTGTGTTAAGCATACAAGTTACACAACTAACTAGAATCCTGAGGTCACCAGGGGCAAACCTGAAAACTATAGTGGAGGCTCCCCTTTTTGAAAGCCTTGTATGGTATTGAGAAAAGGATAGCGTAATGAAAACTCAGTGAAGGAGGGGGATACGCAGCACAAGGAGCATTCAGGCAGGCTACAAAGCAAGGTGCATGCTGATAGGAAAGAACAGAATGATAGACAAATGAGCTGATCAGTGTGCTGGTTTTAATTTCACTGTCTAGTCTCGGGGTGAGGGTGTGAAGGAGACCTGTAAGTGAAAGTGAAAATGCAGAAGAGAATGGTCAGGTCTGCTGCCCTGTCAGACAGGGCTGTGCTAGGTGGCAGAGCTGTGAAAATCTCATCTTCTATGAAAAGATCCTCTGCTGCACCGACCTTGGTCTTTTGAGGAAGTCTCCTTACATTCCTTCCTCTTCTGATTCTCTATCAAGGCCTTCAGCCTTCTAATCTCTAATATTAACAAACAATAGGTGCTCTATATGCCAGGTATATTGCCAATATTGTGATCATTTGGGTACTATGGTGCGAATCCTTTTTGCATTGACTTTATGTATGTAATTGATGAGAAACATGTGTTTTTGGACTTAGAATTAGTCTATGGAGCCAATGGTATCATTATTTCCAAAAAACATTTTAAACCTACTGCAGGGAATTCCTATTTACATGCCAACAGAGAACATCATCCTAGGTGGATGCATAATGTCCCCGAGGGACAATTTTGTAGACTAAGGCGAGCCTACACAAAGTATGAGGAGTATTTTACACAAGGAGAAGTATTGATTCAGAAATTCCTGGAGAAGGGCTACATCAAGAACTCAATACACAATTCCTTTATTAAACACAAGTCCTTGTCCTCCATGGAAAGAAAAATATGTTGTAACAGTTCACATCAGGCATATCTTAGTACACAGTATAGCAGCAGTGCTTTTCTGATTTCCAAAATTTTAAAAAGACATAGCAGAATTTTACAAGAGGACCATGTTTTAAAAAGATTCTTTACCGTCACACCCTAAAATAATTTTCAGGAAACCTCATTTCAGGAAAGTGTGTTAGTGCCTAGTAAGGTAAGATCCAGAAATCAGGACAACTGCAGTATGGTAAGTTTAGGTGTGGTGTCCCCAATTGTGGTGCGTGCCGCTATTTGTGGCATGAAAAGAAACATAGAACAACTGGGGGAGGGGGTTCCTCCCTATAAAACAATTCAATAACTGTGGGAAGCAGTTTGTAGTTTCTGGTTGATCTGCCCCTGAGGAAAGGTTTATGTGGGCAGAGCCATAAGAACCCTCAGGACCAGTTTTGGGGAACAAAGGCTGAACATTATTCATAGAGTTGACTACACTTCAGTACCAAGGCTCTTTCAGGAATTCCATAATATAAGTCCTGTTGACCTGAGATTATTTGGTATTGAAGCCATTCCTTGGGAAGGTGATGAAGGTATCAGAAATAAAGCACTATGCACCAGAGAGATGTATTGGATTCGTACACTCAATTGCCTGACACACATTGGACTAAATCAAAGCTTAGAAATGGCTTCAGCTCTCCCATAGAGTATATTCTGTATGAAGTAAGCTTAGACAGTGTAATTTTACATCATGTTACATTATTTTGCACTATTTATTATGGTAACTAGGTTTGGCTTCCCATTTGTAAGTATATCAGAAAGCACTACTCCACAATATCAACAGTTTATATAAGACTTTATTATCATATTACAATTAGTGAGATTTTGTTAATATAAGAAAGGCTGCATGTTATACACGTATTCACCATTTTGTTTCTATGTACAGTATATTGAAATATTTACATGTCCTCTAACAGTATTAATTTACTTTTATACCATCATGTCTTGATTTGTATTTTAACTGCAATGTCTTCCTTATATTGTAAAGCGCTGAGCAAACTGTTGGCAATATGTAAATCCTGAATAACAATAATAATTATAAAATGTTTTTGATCATCTTTGTAGGCGGAATCCTCTTGGTTAAGTGCTCTTAGTTGTGACACTGCATATAGTACAGTAAGCACTAAGGATGGAGGTTAAACCTTTGAAATGCATTAGCTTTTTTGCCTATACCTACGTTTTTGGACGGCCCTATTCTGTAAACGTCTTTTCTGTGTATGCCCTTTCCAAATCAACTAGGTTGAAGAGATACATGCTTGGGATTTACATGTGAGTAGAATGGGTTTCTGGATCTTATGAGTCTTTTAATAAACGTTAATACATGAGAAGAATGCTTTGTTTTTTGTGCTTATTTTACTAAATAAACCCCGTTGAACCCTATCTAAAATCTTGGGTTGGCTGATTTCTTTCTTTTACTGTCAAAGTATAAACTATATTACTAACTCCAAAAAACAGGAATAGGTGGACAAATGTCATATAACAAAGTAGTTAAAAACATCCTCACGCTTCATTCTTTGTTAAAATTTGTATTAGAAAAAGCCATATTCAAGGACACTGGAAATCACCTTGGAGTTACACTTGTATATATAAAAGCAATCGGCCTGAGGCCTAGCACTTTTATGTGGGCAAGGAGTCCTTGGTGATTACTTATATCCTTATAATTCACAGTAGGGAGTGCATTATACTATATATTATAAATATTTAATATTGCTTAAATCAGTTCCATTAATTTTGTATGGAAAGCATGATGGGAATGCATTATCCCACAAATGATAAACAATATGTGAGATTCATTATTTCCATTTGTTCATTTGATGCAGATAAAAATAATTGGTGCTGATATATGTTTAGTTCTGCAGCACAAATAAGGAAAAGAAAAAAAAAAAAACACAAGGAAAGTGACAAGAAAAGGGACAATAGATTTCTATTTGGGTCTGCACAGCACGACAATTTCACTTTCATGTATGTGTTTTTTTAGGCTTTTTCGTTAAAGAGGCCTCCAATAGTGCAGTACGCTATTTCACTTGGCAACAGTATTTGAATGCCTGATTGTCTGTGCTTTTCTGGCAGCTACCTGTAGAGGGCACTCTTATCATATGAATGCGCATTGTAACTTCATATGCGCTCAACATTTTACAGCACATACAGCCAAATACAATATAGGTTTCTAACAGTATAAACACACCATTGAAAGACTTCAATAAGACATGGCAGCTGCCAAAATGATAAACCTGTACGGAGGAAATTAAGGAAACTGACACTACTGGCTACTCCTGAAAATGCTAGCTGCCTTGCTGTCATGCCGATCCCATGACTTTACCACTGCTACTTCACTGGCTGCTTGCTTGTTCCAGGATAGTAACTTAGAAAGCATTAAAACCAAGAGACTGCCAGGCATGCAGCATTATCAGAGGTACTTTACGTCTGCTAAATGCTGCAAAGCACACATATTTTCCAGTGTACAATATTCCCAGAATTACAAACACTTTTGGCCTAAATGCAGTAAATTTCACAATTAAATGTACAACCAGGTACACTGTAAGGAGTTTAATTAAACCCCATTATTTTAGCCTACTGTGTTATTTCACAGGGATATCATTTCAGCCAATAAAAAGTCCAACTATAGGAACTATAATTAGGTTTGGTATGGAGAGTAAAATTGTTTAGATGGTTTTCAAAAGAATCTGTCAACTACAGAAGGCAGTTTGGACTGCTGCGGTTCACTAATTAGACTAAGGAACACATTTCCCAACTCTGTCAGAGTCTGGATTAATATTACAGTGTAAAACTACATTTGCTCTGAGTGCTGTCATGCTGAGCAATTCTCTACAACAGGGCTAGGCAACTTCAGCACGCCAGCTTTTGTACTACTACAAGTTCCATGAGGCATTGCAAAGCTCTGACTTCCACAGACATGGCTCTTAAGGTGCCCATACACCTTACAATTATCTGCATATTTTCTATGCTCAGATGGAAAAAGTGCAACAGATTGGCCCAGGTGGAGATTACTCCATCCACACAGTTAAGTGTAGATGGAGGAATCTGTTGCACCTTTTCCATCTGACCATAGAAAATCTACAGATAATTGTAAGGTGTGTGGCCAGCTTCAGAGAGAGAAAGAGAGGCATTGATGGGATTTGTTGTTTCACCACAGCTGGAGTGCCAAGGTAGCCTACCCCTGCTCTACATCGTCCAGGCACAGAGCAATGTGGAGAGGTCTGCTGCTATATCTTCAACGCTTTGAAACAGCCATTGATATGTTAAAAAAAGGTAATTTATAATATAAGAATTATGATAATAATTTTTACTGATTAACCTCCCGAGTTTGGATCGGGGGTTAATTTTCAGTACCAAAAGCAGTAACCCCGAGCCACACTCGGGATTACACTGTAGCGTCGCCTTGTCCCTATGAGCACCGCTGTGTCCTCCGGCCGATGCCGGCATGCGTCTTCCGTGTTCCTTCCCTGCGAGCGCTGGCGTCGCAGGGGGGCGGGACCAGCGGGAAATTCAAAAGTGAAAGATAGAAAAAAAAAAGGGAAAAAGAAAAAATACTGACATAGTCAGACTGCCAGGGAGTTTAAGTGACACCATCAATTTACTGTTTTCTGCCAAGGTTGTGCGCAGACAGGCTAAGGATACAGACCAGACTTATTTGTAATCAGATTCCTGGAAACACAATTTTATTTATACACTATAGGTATTGACATTTTTTTTTAAAGAAATTCAGCTAATTAATTATATCTGTTTA